GCAATTCCTTTTATTCAATTCTTCAAACACCAGTAAAGGTCATCCACATGTCCTGGGTATGTTTTACCTCCAAACACCTTTTATTATTTTGTTTCCACTTCGTGTTTGTATACCAATTTAAAAGTATAAAGACTAAATGGTACGTACAGAGTTTTTTAACTAAAAAGTGTCAATTGAAAACGACAAAATTGAGAAGCAATAAGTTTTTATTTGATATTATATAAACATCCAAAAATTACAGCTAATTAACATTTGTACACGGAAGAAAAGAGGGGCTTATTCTGCCAGTCCATGAAGCATCCATAGACCTCACCTGCAGAGGATAAAAAACCAAAAAGACGAAAATCCTAGGCCGCCGGAGTTTCGATTCCTCAGGCGAACCTGCACTCGGGAGGAAGCCCCTGCGGGAACCGCTTGAGATCCGCACAGTAGTTGTAGATCATGAAATACTTCTGGACCCAACGGAGGCGGCGACGACCGAAGGCATCGAGGTCGGCGCTCCGGCGGTCGGAGCCGGCGAACGAGGTCCAAGATCCGGCGGAGGCGGTGGCGGAGGCGTTGAAATTGCGGTAATAGGCGGTGAAGGGAGCTTTGGTCCAGTCGGTTTTGACGAGGCCGCCTCTGGTGGCCCAGTCGTCGGCGTTCCAGAGGCTGGAATAAATCTTCATCGGCTGCCTCGCCGGAAAAGGTACGCCGATCGCCTCCGCGTTCTTGAACACTCTTATCGGATAATTATCCACTGCGAATCTGACCAATAACCAAGCTTTTAAATGTTCCATGCAAATGTTTGAGGCTATAAAAGTCATAGAAATTAAAAAATCATAAAAAATATTTGAATTAATAAATAAACATTCTCATATTTCTAAATAAGAAAAATAATTAATATTTATATTATATATATATATATTAGTGATATTTTGTCGATATTTTTTATATTTTGTCGATTTTTTTTATTATAATAAAAATGTCGATAAAAATATCGATATGTCGATAAATATTTAGAACCATGCCAATAACTTATATATAAAATTAAGTAGGTTTTCTTTTTCCGTAACTTTAACAAAGCTCAATGGATTAAAGTATTATTATGAGCTTAAATCTCACCTCACATGTTTTAAATTAATTAATAAAGATAAAGTTACAAATAAGGGACCGATCTTCTACCCATAAAATTTGATGGTACCTACCTTTTTATTTATAATATGTACTTTATTGTGAAACATGGTATATGTAGCTCTACATGTTAAATAAATTGTGTAGGGTTTTATTAGTAGGAGATGGTTAGAAACGACCCTCCTATTTGTTACTTAAAGTGTACTTTTTTTTACTTTCAAAATGTTTATTTTGGTCCATATATTTTAACGAGTAAAGTGTCGTTCTAAAATTGTGATGGAAATAAATAAGATAAAAATGAAAATAAATGGATCAAAATAGACGTTTTGAAAGTCTACAAACTAAAACGAACAAAAGTTGAAAGCACAAAGACGTTTTGAGTTGAGGGCTTACATAATTTGTTTGGGATTCCAAATGATGGTGTAAGTGTGGAAGTTTTTGGTAGGATCAAACCAAAGGTAGAATTGTTGTTCTCTATTGCCTTTTCCTTGAGTGAACACATTGGTGTGGAGAATGTAAGGGTCACCACTCAAGTTTCCCAAAAACTCAAAGTCAATTTCATCATGGCTTGCCCCTTGAGAAGACAACTGCCAAAAGCATCACAAATTTTCCCATCAATTCAATTTACTATTTTCCCCATCTTCTCCTTTCTTTATTCTTCACCTTTTTTGGACAAAATAATCCCAAAAAGTCACCCATGCCTTGTGAATCAACAGTTTCATCATGCCAATCACATCAATTTCTTGTTATCGATAAACTAAATTGCGTAATTTGGGTTGGATTAATTTGCTTTTTCGTTTTGATTTTAATAATCTTTGTATAGATATTGAAACCTATGGTCTAAAATTGAGTTGGTATAAAGCTCTATGAATTACATGTATTAATTCATATATAGTTCAATTTATTAATGTATATATTCTGGATCAAAAGGTTAGATATATTCGAACATCCACCTGTTGAATGTAATGTTCTAAAAATAGTGTGATTAATCTGTAAATTAAATTTATTTATTTACCATCATAATATCATCGATTTTTTTTTCTTTTTGTTAGTTCAACTAGAGCAATAGAGAATGTAATCTCCAAACTTTTAAACAAACAATGTGTTACGTTTAAACTTTTATTTTGGTTATGTTATCTTACAATTATTTTATTTATATCTTTTATATAATATCTTGTTCAGACTTTAGTTAATAAACTGTGCATACAAAGTTGTGTTTTGAAAAGTATGGTAATTTTGTGAATCTTGTTAACTAAATAGTTGAGATCTAATATAAAAAGAAATACACCTCGAAATACTAAGGAACCTTTTTAGGTTTAAATTTCAGTTATATCTCTAAACTATTAAAATATCTATTGGTTAAATAATTAATAATTACCAACTCAATTAGTTTTAAAAAAAAATTACTTAAGCACTAAGCAGTCTTAGTAAGAGGAATCTAAAAAGGAGAGGAGAGATGAAAAGCAAAATAGTTAAAAATAGACGTTTAAAAAAATAGAAATTAATGAAAACAAGTAGATATAAAACCCAATTAAAAAAAAAGATAATAGTAATAATAATACTTAGCTACGTAGTACTCCTTTTTATGGTGAGACTCATAAAAATTTGATAGTATTTAAGTTTTTTGAAAAATAGAAAAAACGTCTCTCTTTTTTGCATTTTTCTAATTCACGGACGACTAATATCATGAAATGGAATTTGAATTCATTCCATCTTAATTAATCTAATAAGATTAATGAGCCACAGCCATGATGCTGAGAAAAAAGAAGTTGAAAAACTTGACTCTAAAAAGACGAGAACCCCCGTCAATCTACCTCCGACTAAGTAAGTTTAAATTTTCACTTCTAGGTGTCCTCCTCCTATTTTGTAACTTTTGTAAAAGAAGGAAGAAGGGGAACAGTAGAGAAGAGAAGAGGAGAGAGATTACATAGTAGGCGGTGACGGTGCCGGCGGAGTTACCGGCGACGAGCTTGAGCTGCATGTCGATCCGGCCAAAGAGATACTCCTTAGTAGAGCGAAAGCCGGACCCAGAAACCTTGTCCAGCGACAGAGACAGAAGCCGGCCGCCGTTGAAAATCTTGGCTCTCTCCCCTCCCCAGCTGATCTCGAAGTCTTCGTAAAAGCTTCCGGCGTAAACCACGCCGCACAACGCCGCCCACGCCACGGCGAACCACCACATCTTACCGGCGCCGGCACCGGCCCCCATTAATATATATTTTAGTTTTCTTTTATTTTATCAGAGAGATGGAGATTTTGAGGCGGAGAGAGGAATATATATACACGAAATTGAAATGGGATGAGTTATGGGAGAGGCGTGATGGAGAAGGGCAAGAGCGGAAGAGAGAGAGACCCTTCCAAACTTTGGATGGAACATTTTGTTTTTTGAGATTTTATTTTTTTCTTTTCTTTCCTTTCTTTGGGATTCATATTCTTTTGGCTCTTTTTATCTCTTTTTAATTATGATTGAAGTTTAATTTTTAAAAGGAAATACTTTGCTCCTTCGAGATTACGGTCGCTACTGCAGACTCATTAATTTTTAAAGGAAGAAAAAAATAAATTTATTTTTGTTGAGTTATTTCATGATATGTTTGATAATGAGATGTTTATCGATTAACATTAATTTTTTTTTTTTTTGTTGATATCTCTGTAAAATAATATAACTTTTTTTTAACATTTCTCCCTCTTACTTGTCAATAATTTAATGGTAATTAACCGTATTAATATTCTTTTGGCTCTTTTTATCTCTTTTTAAATATGACTTGAGTTTAATTTCTAAACGAAAATACTTAGTTCGAGGGTCTATACAACTATCTCATTAATTTTTAGAAAAAGAAAAAAAAAATTGTTTCTGCATTTCTCTCTCTTGGTTGTCAAACATTCAATGATGATTAGGACGAGGTAGGTATGACTGGTATGGAACTAAGTATTTTCCATTTCAAATGTTGAGTTTCATGATGAGTTTGAGAACAATACGTAGATGTTTATCGATCAACATTTATCTTTGTGCTTACAGCTTTTAAAAATATAAAAGTAATATAATTGTTTTTTAACATTTCTCCCTCCTAGTTATCCAAAATCTAGTGGAAATTTAAGAAAATTATGTGAAGGAGTGAGTTTTGGCCAAGCAAGTTTAGCTTACTAATGAAATTTATGGATTCGTACAATACAAACTTCAAACTTAACAAAACCTAAGCCAAGTTCAAACCCTCATTCTATAAAATAGCCGTTCGAAACCGCTAAAATAATTTTAAAAGTTTTATTATTAGATATACATATACATAAATAGCTTATTTATAGAAATCAAAATCTTAATATTCTTTTCTCCTATATACATAGCTTATACATATATATAAACATTTGGCTTCGGAGATGAAAGTTTACGAACTTGTACACATGACTCAAATCATATGAACTAAAATATATCAGTGATACAATAAACAAGTAAAAGTATCTAAAAAGACATGCGGAAATTGTTTTCAAAACATTATCATATTTACAGAATCATAACACTATTGTCATATTTGTCAATACGACGACATGAATCGCATCAATTTGTTACCTTACTACCATCTCTCTATTTTTTCTTTTACAAATCTTTTGAGACTTAAAAAAGGAATGAATGAAGAGGAAGAAAGGGATAGAAAACGATGTTTATTATAATAATATTGTCCTCTTAAGTGTTTCCTTCGCAATTAAATTTAATATAATCATACGGTTGTCTCGTAAAATTAGTGTAGATACACGTAAACTGTCTTTTATGGAAAAGTGGGCCCAAATAAGTTCAAAATTTTATAATTTGAAATTTTGGCTAATAAAAGAAAAGGGTGGTGGTGGATGACAACGGGTTTTGGCATGGGAGAATAAAGGGTGGAAATAAATATCATTTTCCTTTGAGAAAAAAAAAAGTAAATAAATAAATATCCGTTGGACCACAAATTATTGCTTTGCCGAATGGGAACGTGACAGCTGGCAGCATGGCTCCCCATTGGCCACTCCCATTGCTTCCAAATAATAAGGCAATTCCACTTGATTCCAGCCCATGCTTCTCCCATAATTTTTTTTTTCAGTTTAAATAGTATTACAATTTAATTACAAATTTAGTCAATAAATTTTTAAGGCTTAGTTTAATAGGTACTTAAGTTTTAGAGAAAAAGATGCATTCATAATCTCGTAAACTTTTAATTTTGTGTCTAAATACCAAATAATCCTGTCAACTTTTAATTTTATATTTAATAGGTTCTTGACCTATTTAACTTTTCTTTTTTTTTTTAAATTCATTGACCTTAAACACAAAATTGAAATATCAATATCTTATTAAACACACTTTTTAAAGCTTGGAAACCTATTAAATACATATCTTAAAATACAATTTGTGTTCACTAATGTATTTCTAAGAAATTGGTAGAAATTTAGAGTTTTCTTATATTATATTATTTTTTCTTCTCTAATTTTTTCTTTTATCAATTCGCTAAGTATTGTTCAAGGTAAGTTTATTATTAGTCAATTTTAATATTCACCAGCGACGAGAGGTTAAATAGGTTAAATTGAAAAATGTTAAAATATGAAGAACAACTAAATTGAAAATGTTCTTTTAAAAAAAATAATAAGAAATTGAAAATATTAAAATATAAAGAACAACTAAATTTAAACTTTTTAAATGATATGGACTAAATTGAAAAAATACTCAAATATTAGTACTAAATGGAATGAAAAAAAAAACCAAAAATGTCAAGGATAGAAATATAGAATTGTGTATTTAGCCTATTAAAACAATAATAAAATAAATAAAATTACTAATATATATATTTTGCTTTTTTTATTTGATAAAAGAATATCAGATTCATTTATTTATTATTTATATTATAACAAATTAAAATTATTTGTTTACTAAAAAAACAAATTAAAATGATTTGCATTTCATTATAGCAATACTTTGTAAAAAGGTTTATCGTAATTATCTAAGTAGATATCAATTTTGTGTGATTATTTTTTGAAACTACGTGTAACAGTTACGAGTCAAGTTGTAAAATGGTACAAATTAATGAAAAAGTAGTGATATGACTAAAACAATATTATATAAAATTTATAGGCTAAGATAAAATATTTTGAAGCTTTAACAAGATATTGTCCATTTTGAGTCTAGCCTTGCATTAATTTATAGTCGATGTAGTATTATATTCGCATCTCAAACAATTCACCCATTAAATGAAGGACCGTCATGTCTCCCTTCAAATAGTCAACTATATCCGTCCACTCTCAACTATAGGTTAAGAGTTCGATCTTATCCAAATCAACTTGTTGGAATGAATAAGCTCTTAAACTTTCGATTTTGTGTCAATAATTTCATGATATTTTCAACACTTTTTAAAATTCATAGATTTAATACAAAAATTAATTTTGTGTCTAATAGAATTCTAACCTTATAATTATGTGTCTAATAGATTCGTGAATTTTAAAAAATGTCTGATGGGTCCTGAAGAATCTATTAGAAACAAAATTGAAAGTTCATGAACGACACAATTTAAAATTCAAAGACCTATTAAATATTTTTAAAGTTCGAGTATCTAAGACACAAAATTAATAGTTTAGAAACTCAGCAGAAATAACCTAAAAGATACTCGCTAAACTTCTCATTTAAATCTTAGCAAAAAAAAAAGTAAGTGTCAACCCCATTGAATAACTCAATATCACAACACATATTATAGCACAAGTAGTGTTGAAGTTCAACAATATTTCTTTTTCAATTCAAATGATTACAAAAAATTGCAAATCAATAAGATAAAAATTGAAAAGAAAAACATGGGATTTTGAAAAGAATGATGCATAATTGAGGCACTATTGACAAAGATAATATGGCATCCCATCATGGGGTAATTTGGTCCCTACTCCTATATTTATTATCACAATCAAATTAAAGTTGGAGAATTAGATGCAATTAATATTCCCTTTAATCACCTCTTTTTCAATGACTTAATGCAAAATATTGAAAGCAATCACTTCATCATTGCTTCAAAGCTTCATCATTAGTCGCTCCTCATCACTCATTTCCCAACATATTTTAAGTCTCTAAAAATTTTTCAATTTAGTATTTTAACATTTTTCAACGTGGTTTCTTACCGTTGGTAAATGTTAAATCTGACTAACTATAAAATTACTTAACGTAATATTTAGTGAATGGAAGGAAATTTAAAGGAGGAAAATGACATCTAAAAGAGGAAAGTTACTAATTCTTCCATCTGAATTTCTAAGCAATTGGTAGAGATTTAAACATCACTAAAGGTTAAAAGAATTCTTCTCATGTTTTATTTTTTTTCTTTTCTTTTCTTTTCTTTTTTTTTCTTTTTTTTTTCTTCTCAAACAAGGAATGAATGTGTGGGATAAAGTGTCAAATATGAGAGGCTATATGCACTATTTGCATAAAGTGAGAGAGGGATAATTACATTTTTAGTAGATTATTGGTTTAGCTAATATTTGAAAAAGAAAAAAATGCAATCGTAGAATTGACAATTACTTGAGGGAGAAAATCCAAAGGCTTCTTGACTAGTGAGGAACTTTTTTTTTTTAATTCACAAATTTCAACAGAACCATATATGTTTAGGTTCGCTACTTGACTAACAAGTCAAATTTTTAATTGGAATAATTATCTTTATCGAACTTATGAAACAATTTTAGTTTTGCTATGGCATTATAACCCCTGTTATAATTAAGTTCTTGAATTGTAAAGATTAACATAAAAGTTAATCTTTCTACTTTAATGTTAAGTATGGAACGCTGGATTAAGAATTGCAAACATGCAACAAAAATATAGATCAAACGTTCTATTTAAATGATTAAAAATATAATCTCAAAGATGATAAACTAAAAAGACTATACTACCCTGAGATGAAGCAATATAAGTCATTGAAAAGAAATATCTAAAAATAATAACTCTTATATATTAAGACCATATCATTGGTCAAAACATAAATGCTTAAGTAATATTACAATAGTAAAAATTCCTTAAGCTCCATCATCTCTTTCTCGTATCTCCATTTGGCATTATGTACAGAGTTATAGAGTTTCTTTCCATCTTTACCCGCTCGGCCTTCATCATTAGTTGAGGTCGCTTACTATTTGGGTGTAAGAGTCGAAGAATAGTGTTTGATCTAAAAATTGACCAATTCTACGAACCTCAGCTCGGATGTAGGATGGCTTGGAAGACAAGTTGGAGATGAGTTGAACAGGAGACCTACAAAGCAGAAGACACTCTGATGTCAAAGTGAGTATCTGGTAGAGCTAAATTCAAGAGAGAATCTTGTGTTCGCGTACCTGAAAATGAGGTAAATGGGTTCTATTTATAGCCGGAAGATCTGACAATATTCCAGACAAGGCCTCAATGGCTCTTTAAGGTAACCGTGAATCGCGGCGCATTGTCGTGGAGACTGGCGCTGAGCCGAGTGAGGCTGATTAGTTCGACCAATAAATGAGAAAGAAATCTCAAGCTAGCTTGGTCGGCTCGACCATACTCAGCATTGGCTCGGTCATAAGTAAGAGAGGACCAAGGTAAGGAAATGAGCCTTATCAATGAAGGCCACGTATGACTTTTGTTACTCAATCAAGATGTATCACGTGTGAGTTGAAAATCACCTCCAACAATTAGTTGTATAGCTATTCGACTCTTGAATGGTGATTCGTGTTTAGACAAGCTCTAGAACATCTTGATATATATCACTCTGACATAGGTTGATAGGTTGAAAAGATTGCTTAAGATAAGACAATAATTAATCATACAATCCCAGCTCTAAAGGTTGGGAACAAGTTAGGAGTGTGTTCCATATCCAAATTTAAGTGAAAAGCTAAACATGATCCTGAACAAAGACCAACCTTCGAGATATATCTGTCCTATCTGCAAAATAAATAATAAAAATGATTTATTTTTATATATCCAAATGTAAAATTAAAAAAAGAAACCTAAATTATGAATGTTGTTACACTTCAAACTTATAATTGTTGCAATTGTATCCCCAATTTATGAAATTATTGTAATTAAGTCCAACCAACAACAAAAGTTCTACATGTTGGAAAAAAAATATAGATCAATCGATCCTCCTGTAAGTTCTTCAAATAGGAACTATTTGATTTTCCCCTTCCACATGCTAAAAGCAGATAAATAAGTAACGATAACAAAGGAATCAGAGATGGGGATAGAAAAGCTTAACACCAGGGATTATACTGGTTCGCCTCTATCTTGAGACTACGTCTAGTCTTCTGCGAAAAAGCAGGTTCAACTATAGTTGGGAATATTACAATGGAGATCWCACTCCAGATATTACTATCTTGCTTCTAAGTATCCTAACAATGGCTACCTAGGATTACACAATTGGAAATACCCTCACTAAACCCACCAGATACAAACTCATTTTTTCACACACTGTCCACAACCACTCAAGTCTCCTTATTTAGATTCTGTACAAATGAAACCTTAACAAAAGGATTCTATTTATAAAAGGTCAAATATCACAATCCTTATAGGAAAACAATATTGTAATCCTTATAAGACAATAATATCCTACTCCTTGTAGGAATTGGTAGTAGTGTTTGAAAATCTTTTTCATCGTAGGACACGGGTCATCTGTTTTGGCTCCATTATCCCAACACTACAATTGCAACAACTCTTGTAATTCATGAGTCATTTTTTTCCTTAAGATTATATAAAAGCAGCCATATGAATCAGCAACAAAATTGCATTTTTCAGATATTTTTTTTGTTTTTGGCACCTTCGGATGTTGATGCAATGTCAAGAGGCTACACCCAAGATCTAGGTTCGAACCTTCCTGTGTCCAGAAATCAAAAAAAAAAAACAAACAAACAAACTTTATATAGCACAACTCTAAGGCCTCCTCTATAT